ACAGCGAAGCATGTAGCGCCGTTGAGACAATACCACGTTGCATAAGCTTCCGGACATTTATAAGTGTGGAATGTGATATTTGGTCGAGGACTAGAAGTTGGTGCTGGTGTCGTACGCGGTTTAATGACTGTCCGACTTCTACAGGCATCTATAACAAGAAACGCATGAAAGTTTTTCATTAATTTTCCATATTTTAGTTTATTTTCCAAAGCTTTCAAAGCACCATAAACTCATTTTGTGTCGGCTGTAAAGCGAACAATAAACTCGCTTATCGTTTTATTTTCGTTCCATAATGAATTCTTAATAGGATTGCAAAACTCTAACCGATCGCAATTCAAATAAAGAATAAAAGTTGGTTGAGTGTGTAGTGACCGTTGCTTGCATGCCGCCAATGATTCAAAGGAATTTTCATTAGATTCTTTTTCTTTTCTCGGAAATCGTTAGACCACGACCTCGATGCTAATTTTCACGTGTAGCACGCAATTGAACTCACATGGAATTTTAATTCGTGATTCTTGAAGTTCATCAAACCACTTTATGTATTTTTACGCATATTTCTTTCTGCTGTTATTGTTTTAAATGTATTTAGGGGATGGCAGAAGGAAATGGCGGTAAATAGACGCATTAAAAAATCACTTACATATTTTTTTGCCAACATAGCATCAGATTTGTTACACCCAACCCAAGTATGAAATTGAATAATAACCTTTAACCCATAGCTTGCTGCTAACGTCATTTGTCGTGTGTCTAACCCAAATTTTTGCATCATTTTTCGCTTTCCTTCATAGTTGATTCGAATTTCATTTGGATTTCATGAATATTATTCTTGCTTCCCTTCCATTACCGAATAATCACTTTTAAGATATTTCTAATTCCTTTTTATTTCATAATAACTCAAGTTTAATGTTTCTATTATGCGTCTAAATGAATGTTTGTTGAAGCATCAACTTTATCGGTTTAGATTCATTGTTGAATTAGACGCACGAACAGAAACAGGAAAAAAAATCCCTTCGTGAATCTAAGAAATTATTCATAAAATAGTATGTCACAGTAAATAATAGGCTTGTGCCCAATTTAACATCCATTAAATATACCCAAACGCAGCCTAATATCAACAAAAAAAATGTGTTGAGCGAAATATTTACAAAGAAAAAATGAAAAAGCATAAAATTCAGTATTCATATGTTCATAAAAACTGAAATTTGAGAAGATGGAAGCAGGAAGAGACACAAGGTGCAAATCTATGTAAGAAAGAAAAACATTATGGAACTGGGGGAAAAAATGAGAGTCGGCGAAAAAAAAGGAAGGAACCCCGAAAAAAAAACACAACATAAAACTTTTTTTCTTGTTATTATGTTTACGCATATGCTTCATTTCGAGCATCAAATAAAACAGTGATGAATAAGAAGTTTGATTGTAAATTTGACTATGAGATGTATTTTGATGTTAATCTTGATTACAAATCCATTCAACATACTTTCATCGAATGTTTATTTGAATTTTCTAATAAAACTTTTCAATTTACTTTAAGCATCAAACAAGAAACAAATCTTGTGGCAAATCGTGCGGGAAATTACAAGTTTTTTTAATTCATTACATTTAAAAAATCATTTACCTGTAACATCGCATATTGCACAAAGCATTAAAGCAAATGTGAAAGGAATAGCAAAGTGCTTGGAATATTGACAGCTGGTCAGTCTAAAGAAACTATTTTTGATGTGGCTTCGATTCTTTTTGTGGTCGATTTGTATTCGTCTTCGTCCTGTAATCGAAAAGAAAAGAAAAAGAAAAACATGAAATATTTTATTATTAAATAAAAATTTTGTTGTTCAGCTTGGAAATTACAAGGAAAAACTGTTCACGTCGATCAAGGTAAAGTGATGGGAAAATATCGGCGTCAAACAAAAAATCATTTGATTGGAACAACGGATTTCATGAAACGCTTTAATGCTTTGTTGTTCAAATAAACAATCGGACAAAACCTCAACGAAAAAAGGGGAGAGAATCAAATAAACGATCGAAGCCCATCATCGATGAACCAAATATTAAAAAAAATTCCCTCGGTGTTTATTGAAAAGATTTTTTTTTTTGATTCAAATGCCCAAAGAAATTTTACAGTCGATCGCGTACATAGCGCGCAATAACAACTTCAAATTGTGGTGATTTAAACATGATTATCTGATGCATATTATGCCGAAAATTTGAAGCTCGCACATTTATTTGTTTTATTGACTTGCGGTGGTTCATCGACAAAGCGAATTGTTAACCGCTTAATGGTTGTTAAGTTCTCTTAATGCTCATATAGCACGCTCCAATGAATTTTGCACGATTTTTCACATCTCTTCTCGCTTCTTTCTCGTCGGAGATAACAGCTCTGATATTTCGTTATGATTCAATTGTTTCAATCGCTTCTCTTCTTTACTGTTGAGCTTCTTCGCATATTTTCTTCATCTTCTCTCGAGACTTGACTTAAAAATGTTGCTCGAAAAAAGAAAAAGTAAAAAATATGAAGAAAAGAAAAATATATAAAAATTAATCACTCGAGGGATTTCTTTTTTAAACAATTTTCTCATATTATTTGAAATGAATTACTTTAACATTATAAAGCATCATAATTTTTCATATTTCACATCATCACTTGCCGCAATGGTTCGACTTCTTCGGGTGCTTTTGGCGCACGTACAACTTGCCGACATTTGTGCTGAATGATAAAGAACGATTGGGGAGAAAAACAACAAACTTTAAATTGGAGTTGAAAGCATAAATAGCAATAATCTGAAGCTTAACTTTTAATCCACAACAATCGCAGCCTCTTCACTCGTTAATGCTTGTGTCTTCTTTAATCTCTTTTCTCTTTATTTCTTGTAGATTCGGCAAAAGGGTTTACTGTTTATTGAAAGCGATTAAAGAAAAGTTTATTGTTTTTATCGCACGTTTGAGAGTTATTAATTGAATTTTTTTTTCGTTTCTTTCATATCTCTTTAACTATTGAGATGAATTTTGTTGTTTTGTTGCCTTAACACCGACACCGCTATCGTAAGTATGAATGGAAGAATCTTCAGTCAATAACTGTTTTCAACAGAGATGGGCAAATGTTCCGTTCAACTCGATTGACTGCCTGACTGACATGTCAATGTCTGTCAGTCAGTCAGTCAGTCAGTCAAAATCGCGAACAAAAATATTCGTTTGTTGGGAAACGTTCATATAAATGTTCCGCTCAAGTCGTTTGACTGACAGACTGACAAGTCAATGTCTGTCAGTCAGTCAGTCAAATCCCAACTCTGGTTTTCAAGCGCATGCTATTATTAAATCGCTTTCGATTAAAGCGATCTTTCATGGATTAAAATATTTAATTATCTAATACATTTTATAGAAATTATTCATTGAATCATCTTTCTTTCTAATTTCCGAGTAAAATCTATAAAAATTTGATTATTACATTTACAGCACGTGCTCTTCTTCACCTTTTATATTTTCATCAATTGCCATGAAAGTTTTTATTTAAATAAATGAAAAAATATTAAAATATTACTCGCATTCGAAAGTTCTTTCCGGACAACAAACGAAAGTTGTGAAATTTATCACGTTTGTAAAGAAATCATTGAAATCAAATTTCTTTTAATTGATCAAGTTCAATAATGCAAGCGAAAGTTGAAAATCTCTTTAAATGAATTTGAATACATAAAAACTATTAAAGATATTTTAATAAAATATCTTTTTTGTGAAAAACAACGAAAAAGCTTTCTCACGGTATGAGATCCTTTGAATTTTAATAGTTTTAATTTCAAGTATTCTCCTGTCTTGTGAATTCTGCTTTAAATGGTTTTGCATTTGAATTATTAAGAGCCAACATATATTCAGATAAAGTTCATTAAGTTTCGGTTCCACCTCCTAAAATTCCACACCAAATAAAACATTCATTTGAATATGTGAAAATCATTTTTCTTCTTTTCTTATAAAATGAATTGTTTTGGGGATTTGTGCATAAATTATGTATTTATGATTATAATTTTGGGGGTTTAACAAGGCGGTTAAAAGCTGTCATTTTGATTTAATATATTAAGATTTTCTATCTCTTCTTGTTTGTTTATGGAGTTTAAAAAGCGCCAACAATTGTTCATCGATTTTAATGTCACTTTATAAGAAGCAAAATCCCCGAAATTTCATTTTTTATTCGATAAACTAACAATGTTTTGATTTCAACGTGTTTTAAATTCCATAATTTGTTTTATTTTTCACATTCATTCTTATTTGGCTAAAGAAGAGAAATAAAATTAATAACATTTGAAAGAAGAAAGAAAAATTTGAGAGCCCAAAGGGCAAATTTCAATCGGTAAAGTTTAATTCCAAAAAAAATATGATTTGTGCGTTTTAATATTCAAAACATCTACAACTGTCTGCATATTTTTAACAATTCGTTGTTTATGCTCTGACTTGGTATGAGGCTGAAGGAGAATTTATGTTTATGCTTCTTTTTGCGCCACTTGCTCGGTTGGTTTGAAGCAAAAATCTTTTATATCCTCCAATAGTTCGGAGGCACTTGCAAACTTACAAGCCAGGAGGGAGAAAGAAAAGGCAGAATAATTAGTTGAAGCAGAAGTTTATGCTTCTTACTTACAAAGCAGATGAAAGAAAAAACAACAAAGCATTCCCGTATGCTCAACGTAGCCTACAAGCATAAAGAATTTTTGGCTCGAGGCTATGAAAACAATATTAAATCTCTTATCCCAAGCAGTCTAAACCAATTATGCAACCGAGCCTCAAAATCAAACTGCAGCAAGAATCGAAAACAAAAAAATGAAGAAACAAAGAGTCGATGAGAAGAAATGAAGGAGACCGAATTGCATGCTGAATCGATTGAGGATTTGTTCGTACACATTAAATCGTCTGACGTGTGTAATTTTGCTGGAATTTTAATCTCCTCGCTGCGTTTTTTGTTTGGCTTTTTTTTTTTGTGGAACACCGCAAAATATAATATCAGGCATTTGATTAACAATCGCATGACGTTCTAATGTAAGCTTCTCTTTTGATCAGGTGCATAATCTTCCTTTTGGATAAAGGAGTTGTTTAATCTGACGATTTTTGAATTGAAGAATTCTTCTATCAGAATTTGTTAATTTTTTTCGCCTCTACATCGTGGTTGTAGATCTTGAAGCTACATTTTGCATCTGATCAGAATTATCAATTGATTATTGGCGTGAGTTCAGTAAATTGGATGAATATTTATTGCGAATTTCCAAGTTTTTTTTTGGAATAATCATAATGACTCATAATGCAAACTTTAATAATAACAAAACATAAATCTTGAGTTGAAAACATAAAAGTAATTGTTGGAAGATTTTCTCCTTAAGATCGATGCAAAGTTAATGCTGCATGATTATTTATAGAAGAGTTTATGATTTTATGACGTGAACACGTGATGAATAAATATAACAGATTCATATTCATAAAATTATTATCTACTTAGATGCATAAATATTTACATAAATAATCGTTTTAAATTTTAAAAGCTTTTCCAAAAGTTTCAAATCAATCATCTTGAAATTCTGTCTATGAATAAATTTCATTTTCAAGTTCATCGTTTAAGTAACTATCTAATAAATAGCTGAATGAATGAAACTACTTTTTTCCTCAACGAAATAAAAGAAGGAAGTTGCAAAGAAAATTAATTTTTTATTTCGGAAATCATTAGGCATAGCGAGCATAAAACAATTTAAAGTTATTTTTAATGATGGTATTCCATGAAAATGTGCCTGCCTTCGAATCCAATGCATTTTATTGTCCAATGTAAAGCCACGACATTGTAATGTAACGCCGATATAATTAACTCCTGTAACAGTAATTATCTTGTTAACTTTTTTTTTTTGTTTTGTTTGTAAAAACTTCATTTTTCTTTCCCGAAGCCCTTTGCCGGCATTTATCTTTTCTTCTCTTTCGACTTCACCGAAAAACAAGATCGTTAAAAATAAATTCCGCTGCTGAATTGTAATGTAAGTAAGTAAGTAAGTTTGTATGTAAATGAAGGCAACCCCCCGACTGTGAAACTCTTGCACAAATATGGGAAGTTATTTGAGCATTACTTTAATCGTCTTTAAGTGTTCGTTTGCTTCAAGGGTTGATTGTTTAGTATTTCTTTTGGGAAAAAACAAAAAGGAGACAAAGCAATTGTGATAATATCGCCATTAGGTTAAACACAACGTAATAAACATTTCATATTGGATTACCAATGAGAAGAATGACAAAAGAAAAAATTTAAGAGGCTTCCAAAAATTTCAAATGAAATTTTAATTAACTTAATGCACATTCGGGTAAAACACGAGTGGAAGAAGAAGCATAAGCCCTCATTTTCCTTCTTCTTTTTCCGGGGGATTTTATGCAATAACATCTTAATGAAAATGATAATTGAGTCACTCGCCCCTTCCTTCCTTAGGGAAGTCAATAGCGACTTTTATTTTCAAGAAGGGAACGAGTTTAGTCATCGAAATTGAAAAACTGTCGTTTACAAATCTTTTAAATGCATTTAGAAGTCGAAGTATTTTAACCTTTCGTACTATGAGACTTTAAATTTATCCAAAAAACAAAAACTGAGCTAGAATAGAAGAAAGAAATGTTTTGAAAACATTAAAAGAATTAGTGAACAGTTTTCTTCATTCACGAGTCCCCTTTTAAGATAGATAAATTGAGATTCATGTCTTAGAGTTGTCAATTAACACTTGCATGTTTAATGAATGAATTGAACAAATGCACTTATGACGCTCAATAGAAATTTTTATCTTTGAAAGACTTCTTTGCTATTGAAAAGGGTGGCTTTCATTTTGAGGAAAAACTTCTAAAATTATCTTGTTTTCATGTTCAAGTGTTTAATCAACAATGAAGTTTACTTTGAGGTTTTGTCTTCTTGTGTTGTGTTTAAAGAATGACAAAAAAATTTTTTTTTTTTCTTTGAAAAGCATGTAAATCATGGACATTACCTGAGAATCGGGTCAGAAATTTGAGTAATCCATTTGTTAATGTCTTCATAATTGCGTACAATGTATTTTTAAACTCTGTCTGCATGTTTCGCCACGGTAAAGTTTTTTTCCTGCAACTGTTCTTCGTAAGTTTCTTAATCTTCTTCAAAGTTATAATAATTTTTGCACTCCACTTTCTTAAATCGGAATTGTACGTTTTATTTTTTGTGTCTATAAAACCAACAATCACATTGGTGAAATGAAAAGCTCACGGTTGTTTTTCTTATATTTTTCTGATACTCAACTATTTTACCGTTTTTTGTGTTTGAGTTCCACTGCTCGCTCACTGTTTTCCTCGATTCACTCCAAAGTGTTATAATTTTTTTACGTTTTTTTTTCTTTTATTGTTTTAAAGTTTTTAATTCATTATTTTTGCTTTAATTAGCCAGTTCGAAATATATAGTTCACTGAATTTTATTAGCACTATTTTTTCGGTTTATCCATGGCTTGTGATTGTTTTTCTTCTCTTGAGTTTGCTGTTGAAATGAAATAAAAAAGAAGAAGATTTAGAAGAGTAATGAAATTATTCACACAATATTTGTTTGGTATTAATCTTGAAGACAAGTTGGAAGTTGCTGTTGCCATAATGAAGGTAATAAATCGATAGCTTAGGAAGCTTTGTTTTCTCGAGAATATTTTCTCGTCGGCGTTGTAAATAATCTATGTGATTTTTGAATAATGTTAAGTCTAATTAAATTTGGCTTACTTCTCACTTCAATAGTTCAAATATCATGTTAAACATTAACAATTTTTCTTCCGTTCCAAATTGAAACTTCCTGTTCCGAACACCGTCTTCAAGTGAAAAGTGAATTATTTATGTTACATAAAATTAAACTTACTTTGTGAGTAGATATTTAAGATTGTTGAAAATCAAAATTAATTTCGTTGCAATTCCTCGTCGATCCAAAAATCGCAACAATGATTTTATTCGGCTTTCGAAAAAAATTGCCAAATTTACTTTTTGATTCGTGATTTCCTCCAGTAATTATTTCATTTTCACTTTATGATCGCATTATTTTCATTTCTATCATTAATTTTTTTTATTTTGTTTGATGCAATTCATTACCAAGTTTTATCGGACTTCACTTTAATGATTTAACTAAATTAACCAGACTTTCTTTTTGATATCAAAAAACAAATGTTTCCTGAAGCCAACCAAACTCGTCCGTTCATAAATGAAAGAAAAGATTTTTTACACACGTTTTTCTTCACGGTTTATATTAAGTTAAAGTTCTTTTTTCGAGCACTCGAGATGCTGATTTGTTTTACTATCGGTGTAAAATAATGTTTTACATTAACGTCTTTACGATGAGAACATCAGCGAAAAACTGAATGAAAACGATGGAGAGGTAAAAGCATTAAAAAAGAGAAACGAACATTGGCTTAACCATTTCGTTTCAAGGCTGTTCCAAGTCGTTCGTTAACACAATCACACACATACACACACGTAAGTCTAGTGCGTCAGTGAAGTGTAGAAGCATTAGGAAGTTGGATGGTTTTCTCTTCTTAATTTCAAGCGAATACTGATTGTGCAATCTGCATTTTAATTACACGCTGTTTAATGAATGAAACTTCGCTTATAATGATTTTCACTTTTTTGGTAGCATGAAATGTTAATAAAAGAAAAACAACTTTTACACCCACGCATAAATTTTAATTCTTATTCGATTAAAACTACCTGTTAGAAATGTGCAATGAACAGAAGCGTAATCGGATTGTCGTTAACTTAATTTAACTTAACAATGACATGAATAATCCTCACTCATCTCCTGCCTACATCCATCTCGCGATCAGTTCCAGTCGTCCAAAAGTCAATCCGTGTTGAAAATTGTGTTGTTATTTTAATGGATTTCTTTTTAATCGCCGCAGTGTGATTTCGGGACAGCGCCAAAGCGCAAAAATCCAAACGAGATGCGAGAGTGAAATAGAGAGTGAAATATATGTAATTAAATATTTCAGGCTAAGGTCGTTATTTGATAATTCTTCTTAGGTCTGGCGAACGAATTGGGAAATATTTTCAAGAACTAAATTATAGTTTAAGTTGATGCATTTTCAAATTCATTTCTCTTTATTTATTTTTTTTTCGAATCCCCATGAAATTACCTTCAAACTTGTCCCTAACATATGACACATGAATTTTTTAGAATGCCGATGAATCCGTCTCTGAAAACCGCCAACAAAACAATTTCGAAACTCAATTCAAAGACAAAAAAAAAATAAAATCACCTGCAAGATGAAGAAGCAAAGAAGAAAAACGATAAAGCGAGCACCGTATAATTCGGAATCAAGTTGAAGCAACGTTGAGAATGCCAAAAATGACTCATAAAGTAAATATTAACAAGATTACACAAGACGAAATTGGGTATTAGATGGTGATTTGATGATAAGTAAGATTTGACTCTGTTTGTATTCTTTTTTTTATAATACATTTCGCTTTCCTTTTTGCTTTTCTCCTTCTCTTCTTTTATTATTGATAATTCGACTTCTTTTATTTTTAACTAAGGGGGCGCGATAGCGACACACAAAATCTACCTTCCACTTCTTCTTCTTCCCATATTGACTTTCAAACTATAATAATTTCTTCATCTTACGAACTTCTTTGTTTTGCCTGCGAGGTAAGTTCTAATATTTGTATTTTTTTAAGCGATAAATAGCAACACCATAAGTCCAACATCTTTTTTGTTTTGTTTCTCCTTCTTCACAAAGCTTACCTACGTCTCATGGTCATTCATCTAACAAATCATTATCGTCGGAAGTTTGTTTTTGATTCCTTCATCATTTCAGAGTCAATCGACGACTGTCGGTACTTTGGTGTTATTAATTAATTACACATGATTTTCTCTCTTTTGGAATTTGGATTGATTTGGGATTTTCGGGACTTTCTCAGAGTTTGGGAGGTAAATTAAATAATTTAACTAGAAAATCATCGTGAGGGATATTTTTCTTCTATGTGCAATCAACAAATGATTCTCTTTTAGAAGAAACTATGTTTATGGCATGAAATGACTTTGATTTTAAAACTGAAATGATGAAGCAAAGAAGAAACAGTCAAATTTCTTTTAAACCGAAACTAAATTTTAATTGAATATAAACAACAATAAGAACGCTTAGTGCAAAGTTTGAAGAAATTTTCTTTCCCACAAAATCATAAAGATAATTCTTCTTTAGAAATCTGTTGAAATTCAACTATCCTTGACATGGAACTTAAACAAACGTTGACAAATTATTGGATGATTAGAGAAGAAACGATAATCTCTTAATTTAATTTTTTTGCTTAACGATACGGAAAGGGAATAAATAGAAAATAGAAGTAAACGATTGAGACAATTATTTAAGGCGATTGTTCATGTTTAAACAGATTTTTCATGACAACAATACTTTAATCTTTAATCCTAAAAATAAACCTTTTGAGCTTTGTGGCGAGAAGATTGAAAGCAAAATAAATCGGAAGGTTCATAGTCGATAGTGACACTTCTCTTCCTAGAAAACAGTTTGTTTCGGTATTTAAACTTTCATTTTTGCATGACCGATAAATCGGATGTTTTGTGAGTTAAATACATATTTTGGGATCATTGTTTGTCTTCAAAGTGAATTGTGAATTTACTTAAAGGATAGGAATGTAACATTCAGTTGAGTTTCTGTAAATTGTTATCAAACGTATGAATGTTGAGTTAGGAATTTCACTAATGATTTATGAAGCAAGTAATCAACCCTCAGAATTTCATATTTTGACGGTGATTGGTCTTAAACAATATCCGATTTCTCAAGAATTCTTTTTCTTCTTTCATCCATCGGAATTCCCATCAAGCTTCTTTATTATTTATTCTTTTCTCTCCCTTTTCTTTCTAATAGATATCTAAACTGATGAAAAAGTCATTAATTGAATGAAGGAATTCACGCCGTGACAAAACAATACACAAATTTAAATTAAATTTCATGCTGTCGTCATCGAGGTCTTTCTTTAATTCACTTCTTGTGCGACTCATTAAAGCGAAATGCGAGAATTCTGCTTCTTGACTTTTTTTATTTTATTTTCTTTTATTCTTTAATTTTATTTTATTTCTCGTTCATTTACTGAAATAAAATTTGTATTTCACTGATTAAAACAAAAAAAATAATATAAAATTGGCCATGGTTTAAGGTTTTAAGTTTTAACAAAACAATTTTTGTTTTATTCTTGTTCAACCTCACCGACAAAAATTCAATTCTATTAATACGCACAAGACACAAGAAGTGAAAAAAAAGTTTCTCACTGTTGCGGTTCAATGTGGAACACAAAAAATAATGAAATATCATTAGAATTGAAGAGTTCTTGGAACTTTTTACTTCTTATTTCGTCAAACTATGACATTGCTAACCGGGGAGTGAAATATCGAGTGAGAGAAATGATGGGAAAATCGGATTGTTTTGATCTAAGAAAAATATTTTCGTTGTTCGTTGATTGAACTTCCTCATGACAAACTGTTAATAGAAATGATCAACAAAAAACTTCTTTGACATTTCTCCAGTCAAATTATTGTTCGTATCAAGATTCAAGAGGGAAAAGCGGAAATCAATAAACAAGGGATGATTTAAATGTTTTAGAAGTCATCAGAATTATTTACCAGCGAAAACAAAAATTGAATTAAGACACGAACAAACGAATCAAATTCTAAAACCCTAACGATTTTCACTCACATGGATTTTTTATAAATGTTTTCCCTCGTTTTTTTATTCTTAATTATGTGCGGCATGCATATTATTTGAACAAAAGGAATAAAGAAAAAGAAAGAGAGACATTAACAAGAAAAGGTATGAAAAAAGTTGTAGCCGAGGCCACCCGAAACGACATGAAAGAACCGCGAAGACGCTAAAGATAGTCTCGCAATAGCCTATGAAATATTGATTTTAATCTATCAGATAGCAAGGTGTGCTCTTTCATTAGAACCGCAGATAGATGTTGTGCCCTGAACTAACGATTATTACAACATAATTTTCTCTCTCCCCATCTCTCAGTCAAAAGTATAAAAACAAACATGTTATTAGACACATTTTATGGTTTTTATTCGTGTCGTTCTTCTTACAGTCGTCGCTATTCTCCTTCTCTCTCACACACAATTTTACGATTTAGATTTCTTTCTTATTGTTGTTTTGGGCTCTTCTGGAGGTTCTATTATTAAGAATCTCTACTGCGCTAAACTTGAATAATAAATTATCGAACTAAACGATGATACACGTCTCTCGAAAATGATTTCATTTTTTACCTACTTTAAATAGATCCCGCGTCGCGCTTCTTCTTTGATACCAGCGATCTGACGACCCCCAAACAGCACTCCCATATAAGAAAAAAAGGAAAAAGTGAAATTCAGAAGAGAGTTGATGTTACCTGCGCTGGTTAGTGAGATTTTTATTGCATCTTAATTAATTCGTGGTGTCATTTATTTCTTACTTTTCCTCTCATTCGCTCTTTAAAGTTATTCTGTGGCTTTTTTCGAGGTATTTTGTTAGAAGATAAATGACAATAAAAGACACACACGGCGTTTATTGTCATACTTGAATTCATGTTCAGCGTATTTTTTTTTCTCCTTTTTTCATCTTTCAAGTGGTGATCGAGAGGAGTCGGTGGATATTTAACCTGTAGGATTGAGATATATGGCACATTAAAGTTGTATTTAAAGGTTCGAAAAACTGATTATGACTTAATGACTCAATCTTAAAGTGAATAAAATGTTAAAGAGATGAAACATGTTGATTTAGGCTTCATTCTTTACTTTGTTAATAATTTATGATATCAATTAGGGAAATCATCAGAAGAATCATTTCACAATTAGTTGTTTCGCAAAATGTATTTGGAATTATCTCAAGATCAGATCTTAAAGATCCCCCAGAAATTGCTTCCGAGAATTCAGTTAGGAAAGTCCTAAAACAACTTTTCAAATTACGTGATCACATCAATGAATATTTGTAAAAGAGAAAAATCTTTCAGTTGTGCAAATAATTCCGATATGATTCTAAGAATGTACGTGATGGGGTGCGTGTGGTATCAGGACATGTCGAAGTACCACCCCTGATGTTTCCGAATATTCACAAAAGTATGTTTGCTTAAATTCCAATAAAGCATTTCTTTCTGCACCTTTTTCGTCATTCTTCCTATTTTATGAGAAATTGTGTTGAAGGAACTGTACATGAGAAAAGCAGATATCAATAGCCGGTAAGTTTAAAAGGAATTCTTGTTCCTTTTATATTTTCTTAAAAAGCATTTTTATTGCACATTGATAAAAACATCAAACGTGACTATGAAAGAATCGTTAAGGATTAAAAAGGAAAAGAAAAATCACTTTTCCTCAAAGCATTTCGAAGACATTTCGATCATAAAACATAAAATAAAAACTTATGGATGATAATGATATTTCGTTTCTCGTCAAACATCAAATATTTTATTTGTACACAACAAATTAGTTATTTAATGGGATGAGAGAAGGGAGGGTGAACGATATAAATAAGTGTTGTTGTTGGCTGTTGTTGTCTTGTCGTCTCAGCTTTTTTTTTCTTCTCCAAATCCACATCGAAATGATATTCTGTAAATATTGGATCGCCTTTTTCTTCACTCTACAAAGGTAAATATTTTCATATTTAAATTCTCTGCTTAATCTGGAACCTTTTTTTTTAATATTTCTTCTTCTTTTTCGTGTGACTCGAAGCTGAAACCGTTGTTTACTTCTTATTGTTCAACCCGCCTTACCATTGAGAAACAAATATTCAGGGAGAATGATCTCGTATATGGGGAGACACCAAGAAGAAATCAAGATTGGTTGCGATATCGACCTCACTCTCCACCTTTCCATCTCTTTTTCTCATCGTCGACCTCACACACGTTATTCACAAAAGGTTCAAAAAATAACACTCTGGGATGGATTGTAGGAGACGAAGAGACACAGAAACAAAACAAAAAAAAAATAAGCGACGCGACGAGACAAGCGACTCCCATACACCATGCACATTCCTCTTGTCCACCGAATTTCTTCTGGTTTTTCTTTGTTTATTTGTGATCTTTTGCTTTTTTTCCACTGATTTTGCTGCTTGCTTTTGCCGTTTTTGTTTTTCAACACTGAGTGTCGTCAAGCGATGATTGGGATCAATTATATTGTGACTAAATGTTTGTTTTAACATTAAACAGTGATTATTAAACTTCGCATATTTATATTTAAACTCAGTGGTTTCATACTTCGTATGTACCTTTCTTACTTACATTGGTGTTATTTGTAACAATGACTTCACGATTCAGTCATAACCAGCAGCATCTCAATCTTCTTCTTGAGTTGCTAACGAGCCATAAGTAATAACAATTTTTGTGTAAATATTTTCTTTTCGAAATTGATTTCAATCTCTGTAGAAAGGTTGAGAACAAAGGAAAGAATTTGAAGCCCTGGTGTGACATGATGATTCAACGTAGGCATCATGTGTGAGGTAGAAAAGGGACTTGATGTATGTTCCTTAAAAATTATAAAAACTGCACAATGTTCAAGAAATGTTGAAGAAGCGGCGAATCTTATGTGACTTTGGAGAAGAAAAATTGAGGATTGCTTTAGTTAGCGATAACAATGGAATTTGTGTTTCTTTCGGCTTCGCTTTTTTCTCCATTAGTTGCTACGGAAGTTTTACTAATGCAATAAATTTAACAATTGTTAAAATGCTATCTTTTCATTAAACGAAGGACGAGATAGAGAAGAAAAAAAGTCATTTTCAGGGTGGACCTATCGATGACAATTCAATTTGCGTCGAGAAATGTTTTCATACAATTAACTTTGTGTTTTGTCTGTTAGGTGGCATAACATTTGGTGCCACCATGAAATTTATGTAATAAATTAGTTTGAATTCTCTTTTTTTCTTCGTCCATCTTCTTATGATGCTGTTATACTATTGTGTATTTAACTTAAAGGTTTCCTTTGTCGGAATCTTAGTAATGTTATAAACAAGCTGTTTAATTAATTTAAAGGAAAAGTTGTCAAATGTTGAGATATTTTAACTTAGATATTTTGACAAGGGATTGTGAGAGTTTTTTTTCTGGTCGAAAGCATATTTATGTTGTTGCATTTATGCAAGGATAAACGAGACTTATGTTTCATAAAAAGCAGTCAAATTTTATTATGAAAATTTATCGTTCGAATCGTGGTTCAACTATATAGAGATCTTTACGAGATTTACAACTTTATGGCTAATTAACAGAAGAAGATCACAACGTGGTGCTTATAGGAGGAAATTACAATCTTGCATTGTCCCAACATAACAGTTGCATATGTGTGAGTGTAACGAAAAAAACGAAACATTTTGGAAAGTGAAACAATTTTTCTCTCACATTTAACTTCGTCTTTTTTTGGTTCCTTGCGCCCGCTCAGTTAAACTTCAAACTTCTTAAAGGCAAGACGTGTTTTTTAGAAACTCTTAACTTACCCTCTAAAGAATATAAATTTTTCTGAAAGTTAAAAAATATTTCTAACTTAAAAAGTGAATAAAATTTTAAAGAAATTTGTTCTAAATTTCATAAAGCGAAAACTATCGCAACAATCAACAAATTAAATTCCACAGGATTATTTGAAAATACAAAAGTTAAATTAATGTATCAACTCAAATCAATCATCAGCGATTTTATCCCGATTTCAACGATCGCCAGATAAAATAAGATGCATCGAAGAAAATTAATGATACATAACATAAAAATATGCTATCGGAGATGTTACACAGTGAATAATCAGAAAAACAGTTGCAACTTGCATTCGCGGTCAGTGCAGAAGTTGATAAAATGCAAAATTAAAATTTAATTTCAAACAAAAAAATATATAAAAGTGAAAGAAACAAAAATAAATAAAAAATGCATTTAGACAGTAGAAAAATGAAAAATTCACCGGCAAATTTACTTAGAAATGGATTGAAAAGTTTTATTGATCTATGTTCAGGTGAGAAACGGAAGGAAAAACTTTTATTATATTTTGTTAGTTGTAGAGAGTGTTTCATTCATTCAGTTAAATGTATTTACGAGAAAATATTTTCGAGGGTTGCGCAAACTTCATTTCGTAATAAAAAGAATAAGGAAGAGAAGGAAATATTCAAAGTTTATTATTGACGGTAGTTTCTATTTTTTGAAATAATATCAAAAGTTCAAAGAAAAATTTTGTTATATTCCTTTTCTATTTTATATAACAGCAATTGCCAGCGATCATTAACCTGGAATTGAGTGGGAAAATGTACTTATGTGCAGTTTTTGCAACCCTTTTTATTTCCTTTATTATTTACTCGTTTGAACAAAAATAACATAAATCGTCTGAAAAACTTATGATTGTTATCACACGCGACATAGTTTGCCGTAGCATGGAATTATAAATGACGAGGAGAACATAGAAGAAAAGTTTTTAAACAAATGCGGAAATTCGTTGTCGTTTTTTTCGGGTGATGTGTTATTATGCAGTCAAAAGGCTTGTTCTTGTTCTGTCTGCTGTTTCATATTTTCCTTTCGTTGATAACTTAAAAAAAGCATTGCACATTTACTCAATAATAGGGAATAAATTCAATTTATATTATTATATTCCTTTCATATATCTAAACAATACAATTTAGTTTTTAAAAACATATATTAGTGACTTATGTTGGTTAATTCTACAAGAAAGAAAACGCAAATCAACTTTAAATCGTCTTGGAAGCACAAGAAGAAGGAGAAGTTTCATGTGCTCACCCTTCGATGGTGTATAAGTTGCATAATTGGTTTAGAAGCCACTTTAGGTTTGTTCTCGATTCTCGTCAGCTTGAGAAAGAATAAAAGGCAAATGGCTAAAAATTAATATTGTTTTTATAGCCTCAAGCCTAAAAAAAAAAACGAAAGAAAAAATTCCTCGGCTTTTAGCGATGTTCAACTTGCATAAGGCAGGAATTGCGTTTTCATGTCTCGCGTTTAGCTTCTATAGAGGCTAATTATAAATAAATGCATACTGGACAGAAGATGAAAAAAAAATCGGTTTAAAAGCCAACGAGAGCCAACGCGGATCATTAAATGATATAGACTGGTGAAAACCGTAAAATAAAGGCAACGACGAGAAGAGATTTCGACGAGTAATGAAATGAACCAATAACTTAACCAATCTTGCGTAAATTAGCAAAGAATTGCTGAAGAATTTCGCAAAACTAATAAATTTTCACGTTGAAAAATGCAAATAATTTCACGATGGAATTTTTTTCTCTCTGGTTTTGGAGGCGGATCCAGATTTGATTGAGTTTTTTGAATGATTTTTATGCAAAACGATTTTTATTTCATATTATTAATTTTTTTTCGTATATTTTTGAATTCCATAGTCGTTTTAGGCGAGTTTTATGAGAAAATTATTAAAAACATTTTTTCTTATTTTATTTTTCTTGCAGACTTTGAACAAAGTGTTAAAAATGTTAATCAACAACTTAGAGATAAACGGACGCTCAAGACATCCAATTCCAAAGTTATTGCTTCATCTTTACTCTTAGTCTTACTTATAAGTGCAATATGTGATGTTACAGGTGAGTGAATCATTCCAAAGCATGCAAAATTCAAACCCAAAAAGTAATCTTGAAGAAATATTTTCCGCACACTGAACTCGGAGACTTAAAGAATCTTTTTTTGAGGAAAAGAAAAAAAAATCCATTGACACGCCGAAAGGAAGAAATGTCTGACTTTTGTCTGGAAATTTCATCCAAAAGTTAAAATTAGACTTGAAAGAGATTTTCGCTTGTGAATGAAAATTAAAAATAATATCACAAGCGTTGAAATTTTTGTCTCGCGACTTGCGACACTTCAGACGGTCTAAGTACAAGAGATTACACAAAAATTCTTAATTTCTTTTTGCTCGTTACATGCATCCGACTTTCAATTATTTTTCTTCTTTTTTAATGAAAGAAAATAAATTCTGAAAATTTTATTTTTAATTTTCTCGATCTTGGAAAATATCCTTTGAATTGCATAACAAAGCCAACAACATAAATTTCTGAAATATCTAAAGATGTAAGAAATATTTTATACCCAATGAGTGAGTCAACTTCAACACATGTGTTCATCGGTGAATTTAATAGCAAGAAGAGCCAAAATATTTATTCTTCTTTCTCCCAACCGTTCTCGGGTGATTTTTTCTTTAAAAAGGGATTTTTCAATGCGTTCCAATAATGTTTGCACCTTGTGTCGTTCTTCCTGTTATGTTCCTTTCTCTCATTTCCTCGACAACAAGAACATTAAATATTTTCGGGGATATATCAGAAGATGTGTGTAATTTGCGTTCAAATTTAATGAATGTTGTAGAATCTCTCAGTTTTTTTTTCATTCATGCACAATCTTGTTAAGGCACAAGCCTATTGTTTGTCAGAGTCTATGGCAGATTGTTTGATCAATGAACCTTTTCTATCTTTCTGTTCTTCCTCGATCGACACATGAAAAAATGAAAGAACAAAAATCCTTTTTTGAAGGCATTCAATGAGCCGAACCGAGCTGATCTTACCTTGGCAGGTGATGCATGAAACTCTCGTTGTTCATGAAACACAATAAATGTGAGAAGGTTTATTGAACTAATTGACGTCGCTCTCAACGAAATTGATTAAAATCTAATGGCAGAGAAACCCTCAAAATTATGATTAAATTGAAAGATTGACATAAAACCTCTTTATAATGCAGAGCCGTGCTGTCGTGAGTGCCATAAAAGCGACTCTAGAATGGTTACACACAGCAACAAACATTTACGGGAAAAGGAAATTAAAAATCCAATGCGAGCAGATGTTTCTTGCTTCTTCTTGCTTCTTTATTTTTTCGGTTGTTTCTACTGTTGTTGGTTTTAAAAGTTATGGCATATTGGAGCGATCGGTCGGTCGATCCGTTCGTGCCAGTGGTGATACGCTTAAAGAAACTATTTTTCATTAATAATCATCATAAATTTCTATTTATAACGATTCTACCTCCCGGGTGAAGAGCATTGGGGTAGGGAAAGTAGTCAAAGAAAGATAGTTAGCCACACAAGAGACAATGAAACAAGTGTTAACTCTTATTATGTGATTATTTATGAAGTCTTTTAAAACTTTAACTAATTTTTATTCCACTTCTTGTTTTAACCTTCGTATGTTCTTTATTTTCTTTTATACCGCATATGAAAATTGTTACAATTTATCTTTAAACTATTTCTCTTGTTATCAAGATTCTTTCAAGAATGTCTCTCTCATGATTAATTGTAACTTTTTTTCTTTTCCTCTTCATTTAATGAAAATGAATTTAATTTTTCTCGTTGGCATTTTCAATTTGCATTTTAATGCGCGTTCAATTCTCACTCAAGAACTTTCTTCCCGGTGGGTTTCTGTTTGTGCTAAGCTTCAAGTTCTTATCTAAATTTATGTTAATTTAATCTTAATCCAATTTTAATTTTTTTGTTGTTGTAGATGCTTGCAGTAGTCGAATAATTTCACGGCCTAAACCACGAACAACAACACCAGCACCAACTTCTAGTCCTCGACCAAATATCACATTCCACACTTATAAATGTCCGGAAGCTTATGCAACGTGGTATTGTCTCAACGGCGCTACATGCTTCGCTGTGAAAATTGGAATGGAAGTTCTCTACAATTGCGAATGTGCGAATGGTTTTATTGGTCCAAGATGCGATTACAAAGATCTCGATGGGTCGTATTTATGTAAGTTCCTGAAAATTATAAAAATTGTGAATTAAAATTAATTTTAATTTCTTTCATTAGCTGCTCGATCTCGTGTTATGCTTGAAACAGCAAGTATTGCTGGTGGTGCTGTTGCAGCATTGCTTTTAGCATTTATCGTCGGTGTCTTTGTTTACCTCAGAAATCATAATAAAAATTGTGAGTTTGAAGTGGAAAGTCAGAAGGTGAACCATCGGCACGAAGTTATTAAGCTGCAACGATGTGAAAATTGTCAAATATCTGATCAGTTCACGATCGTCATAAAATATCATAATGGATGACAAACATCAGTGTAAATAAGTAAATTGAAGGAATGCAGCTAGAAAACACCAAAAATAATTTTCTTGAATTTAGAAGAGTTTTAAAACATCATATTCAGGTTTGTTTTAAAAAAAAACTTCTCAAGAATGTCATCGCAATTATCGTCTTCGCTTTTATTTTCCTCAGGTTGAAAAAGAAAGACTGTTACCAACTGTTCGAAGTCAACACCAAAGGCGAACTTTTACAGACAAACTGAATGGGAAAAAAAGACTTTAAAATGTTTGTGTAAAAAGATATTTTTATATAATGAATCTGTGATAATAACTTAAGACAATGAGAAGAAAAGAATGTAAATGAATAAAAGAAAAGTCATGAAAAGATGAAATTTGTTTGCTTGATACTTTGTCGTCTTCTTACGAACGTTTTAATATTCCAATTAAAATCTTCGCTTCTTCACTCGATGATGAAAATTTATCATCTAATGTCACGAATGACGGTTAAATTTCATTGAAGCCAAACATATTTCTTCAATTTGTTGTTCTTATTTTTCATAAATGATATGACATGTGACAACAGCGATTGCCTTATGTTCTTGTTTTAGCCTCGTGCTCTTGTTAACTTCTTCTTAATTTGGTTTTTTGCTTCCTAGAATTTCTTAAAATCATTCTTCGTCACTTATGTAAGCTATTAATATCATTCACAGCAGATTTAAATGTGAAATATGTAGTGGACCTAATCTGGTTTAACAGAATGTCAGATGGCATCGGCAGATAAACACTCAAGCGGTTGAACTTCCTCTTGAAAAAGAATGAAAGTGATGTAAAATTTTCAACCTCTTAATATTGTTTTTGTTTGTCTACAAACTTCATGAAGGGCAAGGATGAGAAGAGGACAAATCATGAATGAAAAAAATTAGCTAAATTCGAGTTGTTTAATTAACAAAGTAAATTATTTACTACTCTTGTTAAAGCATTTTCTGCAAAATGCTTAACATTTGACTGTAAAAAATGATCATTTAGAAAGTACACAACATTTGACACAAATGCAAGCTGCAGCATAAAATGTTCGTCAACATCCTCTACGCATGTTTCATTTTTGTATCATCAACAAACACTAAATAGATGAAAATTTTAACGTTTGCTTTCTTTACTTTTCCTATCGTTTGTTCATTCGTTAAAATATGATCGCATTCACGCAGATGATGATCCTCAGTATAATTTTTTTTTGAAAATGTTTGAGAGAAGAAAGTTCTTGAGATCGTTTTTCAACTAATGAGTTGAAACGATTTTTGTTAAAAATATTTTGTCGCATCGCTTAAGAACATTCGTCGAATATTTGGATGAAGACGAGAGAGAAGCAATTAATAAATTTACATTGTAAGTGTTTCAGGGGGCACTGCTGGAAGGAAAATATTTATTACCACGAATTCTTCAACATATTAAGACGAAGAAAAAGACAACATTATTAATGACTTGTTTGTTTATTTATTAAATCACTCGCGTCATAAGATTGATGTGTCAGGATGTGCTTAAATATTTATGTAAAAGGTTACAAGAAGTTCGACAAGTAAAAAAAGATTCTTAAGGATGACAAAGATTAACATTTAAGAAGTTAATTAGACAAATAAAATTTGATCGTATAAAGAGATGTTGAAGTTTATTGACAAAGATGTTAATTATTATGCGATTAGATTTTTTTCTCGTCTTGTTGACACAGCTTTTTTTAAAAAGTACTTAAAACGCATTGCATTTAATAAAATATTTATGTTATGAATATCTTTCTCAGAGATTATCCCACGATCTTTTGATAACATATCGACACTTGTGCAAAGAAATTTCATTTTTATTTCATTGTAAGAAGTTAAGGAATGTTGTTGACACTTAAAAACATGTTTTAAATGAAAAGAATATGTTGAAGACAGTTGAACCTCTTTAATATGACATTCTACTTCTTACAAACGACAAGTGCAGGAAAGAATCTTCAGCCCTGACATAAGCAGCAATAATCTTAACATTTAGGTATTAAGTTTTGAAAATGCAAACATTTAGTGTAGTTTTGATTGATAACTTAATTTTATTATTTATTTTGAACATCGTTTTTTTAAATTTTATTTAGTTAAAAATTTCACAATTATATTTCCCTCTGTTCTTGGATGCAACATTAAAAGCCTTTTTACCTCCCATTAACATACTTTCTCAATTTGATCATTCATTTTTGATTTCAACACCTTCAGACGATGAAGATTTCTTCTCATTGTTGTTTCCAACAGTTGATGAGTCGCCACGAATTCGATGCTTCGAGTCGGCAAGTAAAAGCGAATTGGAATTATTGACGTTTGGCGATGCACTGCGGTCTCGATTAGTTCCACCATTGTTATCGTACTCTTCTAAATATTTATCCATGAAGTCGGTTACGCACGGATTCAAGTTGTACTTTTTCTTCTCCAAACGTGATTTATTTGCAAATACATCGTGACGTTCTGTCTTTTTCCAAATGTAATAAAATTGAACACATTCACCAACCGATCGCGTTTTTACCTGTTTTTGTAGCATCACAAAATTTATTTAAATGATCTATGAAACTAGAAATTCTTTTCAGTTCTCACCTTTGACGCTTGAATCTCATGAAAACATTTTCCATGCAAACGTAAACCACTTTCAAAGTTGCGACATTCTTCTTCACTCCAAATACTCATCGTTGTTGGTGGCTGTGCACTTCCTAATCGTCTGCGTCTTAAAGCTTCCTCTTCATTATTTCCACATTGCAGAAGAAGAAACAAAGCTTGTTCGTCATCACGCAAATGCTTCCCACCTTGTGAAATGTAATTTGTTCCACCATTGGCGCTTGCAAGTTTTGAAAATTTACTCAAGTAATCTTCTATATCACTATCACTTAGCTTTGATGGATCCCAAAGCAATTTATCTTCATTTTCATAAGGAAGTGCATCATCGTACATGCATAAACCTTCTGGAATAACTGCTTGATAATCACCACCAACCATAATTGTCTTTTTCGTTTCATCCTCATCGGGACTGTAATCAAGATCTTCTTCGTCAGATAAAGATTGGTCCAACTTCATTTCACCATCTTTTGTGCCCTTATCATATAAACCTGAATATAACTTTTTTAATTCCGAAGGTTCTTCGTCTTCAAAATTTGTTTCATCATCAAGTGAAGTTTCAAGATTGTTTGTTGTTGTTGTGGTCGTTGCGTCTTCATCTGGTGATTCTTCAGCAACTTCTTCGTTTGCGTTTGTTGCTGGTGCTGGCTGCAATGTAGATTCTTCTGTGAGATTTTCTGTTATAGGCTTTTTGGTGGGCTTTGGTGATTGTCGTCGACGACGTTTTCGAGATCCAGATGATGATGTTGTAGAACTTTGTCCTGGTGCACCATAAAGTTTCAAAAGTTCTTCTATAGGCATTTCACCTTCACGTTGCAGATCTGATAATTCAGCATTTGGATCTTGCATTTCTTTTGCAGCTAAACTTTCTTCCTCTTCCAGCGTTTGCTCATCATCAAAGTCGTTTACCATCATTTCAACTGTTGGCTAAAAAAATAATTTCAATCAATTAACATACATTGACTAAATATCAAATTGCACAACTTACTTCAAAAAGACCGTCTTTTGATATCGATTCAGCAGTGGATTCAGGAGAATTTGGAAACGATGTACTGGTTGATGGTTGTGGATCATCCTGAGCAGAGTTTTTCTCTTTTCCCTTATTTACCTTTTCAGGATTTGTTTCTTCTACGGGTTTGTTTTCCTTCTCGTCCATTTTAGTGAGTAAGGTTTTTTGTATCTTAAATTTTTTTTTCAAAACAAACTTTAGATTTGCCGGGAAAAGCGGAAAACATTTCATTAAAATTCACCTTTTTATAGCAAAAGCTAAGATCTTATAAAATCTTCAAAGTATGGACGAATAACTTATGTATTAATCGTAAATGGTCTTGAATTGATTAAACACGGAATAGCAGGAACTTTGTTAATGTTACCATTTAATATCTTTTAGAATTGTTAAGTCTTCTCTGAAAATTAGAATTTGAAGAAGTTCATAACCCCTCAGCATAGCATTCGAATTAAACATTTTCGAAAATATATTTCGAACATTTCCTACGAGTCTTCAAAAAATAAATTTGAAAAATAGAAAAAATTAAATTAAATTGAAATATGGTTGATTACCAGCGTCAATTGCTTGATGAATTAATGGGAAGAAATCGAAATTTAGATCCTGGAGCTAAAATTAAAGAAAAAACATGGAAAGACGGCGATAATTGTAAATTTTATATGGTAAGGAAATTATTCGGATATTCTTATTTAAGTAAACATAGAAGCCGAAACCAAAGTCATTACTCACTTTGATTTACCATTCATAAATTTTGGATTACTAAATTGAGTGAAAATAAACTTTAACAGATCAATATGAATTGAGTTGATCTGTTTTGGTTTAACTTTGTTTGTCCTTGAAAGTTTCTTCACCATTTAAATCATTTTAGCATTCGTTTTGTCCTCACGATTTGTTTGTCAACACAAGAGCTGATTTAGGACCTTGCGCAAAGATTCATGACGACGAAACAAAGAAACAGTATCAAGAAGCTCAACGATGTTCTCGGAAAATTGACATCGAAAACGAATTCATTCGTTTCATATCAAACATGATTAATGAGGTAGACCGAAAGATTGTTAAAGGTAAACAACGTTTGGACTTGATGAATTCAAAACTAGATCAGCGTCCGATTTCAAAACAAGCTGAAGCTGTACTTAATATTAGTGACAAAATCTCAAAACTTGTCAGAGAGGCAGAAGAAGCTGGAATTCGTGGTGATGTTGATCAAGCACAAAATCTGATGGGGCTTTGTGAGAAGCTCAAAGAGGATAAGGAAACTCTCATCAAACAATATGAAAGCTGTGGATTCAATTTCTCAGAAACTCAGGAGAAACAAATGGAGGTTTGTGAAACTTGCGGTGCGTTTCTGATTGTTGGCGATGCTCAAAGTCGAATAGACGATCATTTAATGGGTAAACAGCACATTGGTTACACGCGTTTACGTAAAGCTTTAGAAGAATATAAGAAGAAGCAAGAAAAGGAATTTGAAGAAAGGCGATCAGGAAGAAGTAGTAGTTCTGGTCGACGTTCAGAGCGAAGTCGTGATGATCGTTCACGTCATAGCTCAAGTCACAAGTGAGTTTATTAAAAACATGATTTATGGATAAATAATAAAATTAAAATTAAACTTTCAGAGACGATCATCGACACAAAAGAGATGACAGAAGAGAAAAAGATCGGCATCGAAGGGATCGACGTTCCAGATCCAGAGATCGACATCGAAGTGAGTTGAAGAATGGAAAGCAATTAAGTTTTTTATTTATAATTATTGTTCATTTTTCTAGGACGCAGTCGCTCTTAAATTCATCACAAATCATTTTCTTACGCCACCAAACTTCAAGTCAGTACTCTTGAAATGCAATAGAGGTACCCCAAAAAATATCTAAAAAAATATCCTTAAACTCTTAAAAACTCCCTAAAATTAATTATTTGCAAAAGTAATGATAATTAATTTAAGAAATCTTTAGTCATCAAGTTATAGGTAAGTGAAGTTTTTATTTAAAACACCGACAAGTGCATTTATTTAAATTTTAGTTTAAGTAGACTTTCCTTGTTTTCCTTTTACTTTATTTTACCTTCGTCAACAAATTTTTCACGTTATTCGGTGTCTCAGTTAATTAATTTTTCTTTATCTAATCATGTTCATCGTGTTGTCCAAAAGAAAGAAAGAAATTTAAAAAAATATCTTTAAAGTTCTTGTAAAGAGAAACGGTTTGTTTGTTGTACTTACCAATATATAATCAATCACAAATCAGGAGCTTCATAACTCAGGTTAGTGTGACAATAACTTTTTTTTTTGCTGCAACTACGAGAAAGGAATGAAAGTTAAAGAAAAAGAAAAATGATAAAATAATCCTCGAGATCATAAAAGGTATCAGAATAATTTCTTGTTTTCAATAATCAAAAACAAAAATATTTATTTTTCAAATGAATTTGTTCTCCTGTGTTGATGATTAAGTATCTATTCGGAAAAAAAGTTCAGCGATAGATTAGAGGACAAAAAAATTCCGCTTCCCTTTACTTTCTTCAATCACACTAATCATGAATTGTTACTTTTGAGGTATTTATGAAAGCGAACAACAAAAAAAATGTTTTTCTGTTTAATGTCTTCAAGCTTTTATCAGTTTCACTTACAATCACAAATTTTTTTTTCTTCCTTAATGCAAAATAGTTTAACACCATTTCACATTATGGAATGGTTTTGCTCAATCGTTGGTTTTTCTTTTTCATTTATTTTGACAGCAATTCTGTTTTGACACTTTTTACAGCGACACGATAAAAGAATTATCGTGTAAGAATTGAAATTTGTGGAAAATGTCGCGAGACTCATCAGGATGGACAATTTGGATAATCACATATGGATTCATTAACATCAAGGTGCGCCTTAGTTAAATTATATTCAAAATATTATCTTGTGAGAGAAAATTACATTTGAATTTTCCAAAAATTTCACAGTTTTTTTTGGCAATCAGTTTATTGAAGTTTTTTAGTTGTTGGCTTAAGAAATCACATTTAATTTTCTCTTTTTTCATTAAGATACAAATATGAATGAGGATTTGTTTCATTTACTATATTTCTTGTGTTTTTTTGTCGAATCAAGGAAATAAAAAATAAAATGATGATAAAAGAATTTAATAAAATGTTTTTTAATTCTAAATTTTTAATACAATAAAGTTTGTCAATCAGTGAAGTTTTTCTTCAATAGTTTCAGCTTATTTATGTCTCAACCTTTCAGAATTTTCCCACAGCCACTACAAATTTCTATTCTTCTTTCAACACTTCATGAATCGGTTTCAGAGTAAACAAAGTTTGATGGTTTTTGTGGCTATCTGATCCTTCGAAATTCCCACGCGTGTTGTGAAGATAATCCATGACTCCATAAATCGCATAGTTGTACTTGAAACTAAATTCAAAAATGTTAATTGAATTGTAATTATTCATTAAAATAATTATTCATACTTTTTATGATGAAAATCGTGCACCTCTGAGCTATGGAAGAAAGGAAGATGATAGCCAGAATGGTCATTTAAAGTTGTAATGATGACAATAGACAACCACAAGATAGCTGTCAAGATGTGTGGTTTTATGATGGGAAATCCAATTGTTATCGGCATCATGTTGGAAAAAATATTCTCAATTGGACTACTGTACATTGCACAGACTGCAACTGGTGCTGTGAATCGATGATGTTGTTTATGTACAAACTTATAAATCATTTTATGATGTAGAAGTCGATGAGTGTAATAGAAGAGCACTTCTTGCACCAGCCAAAAGAAACATAATTCAGTCATCACCCTTGTAAAACTTGGAAGTTCAGGTGACATCGCAAGCTTAAACAAATTGTCCCATGCATGAATACCCCAACTTATAAAGAAATCAATAATTTGATTTGAAATCACGACGATAACCGCCTTAAATAAAAAGAAATAAAATTTATAAATAATTTCACATCCAGATGAATAAAAGTAAAACAAATATTAATGAAAGTGTCACAGAAATACTTAAACCAACTCACTTCAATCATTTTACTTTGATTGCTCAAGGTTGATTTATCTTGTTGCATTTTATATTGGAACAGTTTTTTCGGCTTATTTTTGTATTCCATAATTATAAGTGTTAAGCCAAGAGACCAATACACGATGTTAGGAATAATATTTAGCAGTAAGACGAAATAATTGAACGGGTCATTTCCTAAAAAACATTCGTTCAGTATTTTTATCACATAATTAATTAATCACTTTGATTAAAATTAAAACATCTACCGAGATATCCTCGAAGAACGTCCCAAGAACTCTGCCATACACTGTTTGCATCAAACACAAATTGATATACACGACCAATTCCATAAATTAAAGCGACATATAAAAATAATGGTTCAAAGTAATTTAAGCATGTTAACAACTTCTTCCAAAACTCTTTGGAACTAACGAATATCTTAAGATTGTCTTTCATTAGTAACTCAATAAACGACTTCATCAATCAACGAATTCAAAGAAACTGAATTGAAATTGAATTTGCAAATAATGTATGTGTTGGAAACTGGTCGACTTAAGGATCAAAAGTCGAACAACCAAATACAATCACGGGAGATTCATTGAAAAAGCAGGAAGCGATCTCAATGATGTTTTAATTTACTAAACATTTACAAAATCTTGTTAATTGACGTTAACTGTTTAAAAGACATTTCTATCTCATTTAATTTTTATTTAAAGAATTGAACAAAGTTTATATGTCACGAAGTTTCTACAATGATCTCATTGCAGATTTACCTGATATCAAGGTTTCGTGTCACATAAAAAGTAATAAAACTTGTTTATTCATAGACAAGTGAGTGAAAGTTGCTCCTGCTGTTTTCAAATTTAATGAAATCAAGCATTTTTATCTGCTTCATGTATCTGACGTGATGATTTGTCAACTAATTTGTTTTGTTGTGTTTTAAGTTTTCCTTTCTCGCTTTGCAATAATATCTAAGATGCCAATTGACATAATTAAATTGCAAATTTAAAATATTTTCAAACATTAATTAATGCTATGTTAATCGGCGGTGAAACTAGAATACGCTGGAAAAAGTGAAATGGAGGCAAGGTATACGGAACAAGAGATGTCTGAGAATTGTTGCCACGAAGATTTCGGAAAAACTCGATTGCCACTGGAAGTAAAAAAGTAAAAAGGAAAGAATTAAACGAAAGGTGAAATATTTTTCTTTTGGATTCTTCGGATGCTTCATGAGGTGATAAGTGGAATGAAATGAAAAATTACACAACATCATAATTTCAAATAAAATTAACTAATGCCAGTCGTGACAATTTCAAATTTTGTTTCATCTTTTTTTGAAATAATTAAAAGAAGGAAAAATTGTTTTCGCCGGTTTTCTTACCAAATTTATCATACGAAAAACAAAGTGTTCTGATAAAATAAATATTTGCGTATCGGAACAGAAATACAAATTCACAAGTTTCTTCTTTCAGTTTCATTTTATTTTGAACGAAACTTAAGAAACGAAATAACGTTCGGGCTAACGACTTTTCAACTGTCTAAGTGAACTCCACAAAGACGATGTCAACGTCTGAATTGAAATTGATTGTTCGACTGTTAGTTCGCTAATAAATCGTTTGATAACTGACTTTTCCGGGAGGACTACAATTTACTATCTGAAATAATGAGACAATTAACATTTCGGAATGATATGAGAAGTGACGCAATATTATATTATGAATGAGAATCAATCTCGAACTAATGACGTTCCGATAACTAGAATTGACTTAATTAACTACTGGAAGCGTGGGCTGAGGCAGAGCCCAACTTAAGTGTTTAGTTTTGCTAATTTTATAAAACATTTGTTTAAATATCGGACTATGACTTTCGATAACAGACTTTATTTTATAAAAACGTATTTCAAAGGTAATTTATGCATATTTTATTTACATTGAGTATCAAATGAAAAATGTTGGGTGGATATTTTCTTTTCCATCATAATCTTAAATCACTTAAATATCGTTAAAACTTCATCTTCAAAAAAGGAAAATATAAAAAGGAAAATAAAATTTCTTAAATTAATCTCTGAGCTATTCAAAATTTCAACGCCTTCAACTTCAGTAAAAGCATCTTCTGGACCTTCAAAATGATCATCACTTTTAGGATTGGCAATTAGATTGGGCACTTCTTGAATTTCTTAAAAATGAATTTTATTTTTAATTAGATAATCCTGTCGCAATCAGTTTGTAACATTTGGTTTTTAATATTTATATTCTTACCTATTTCATCTTTGATAGAATTTTGGATGCGTGGATAAGTGATTGCTGTAATTAAAGGAATATTGTATCGACAGTTTATTATAATTTAGTTAAAAAGTCTGCTACCAGTGCCAATTGTGTAAATGAACAAGGAATAAATTAAGAATTCTGACATCTTCTCTTAATTTTTTTTCTACAGTGCTCCAGAAATACTGCTTGCGAATCATTTTTACTTTAACTTTTATAATGAAACCAGCATTGACTCGTAAAAGTTCGTAAAAGTTCGTCATTTCTTAATCGTGTTGTAAGGGAAGAATAAACGATTGAGATGAGAGTCTCATTATCAGATAATAAATTCAATTATCAGCTACGACAAATTAAGGTGAATAAACATGAGAAGTAAACATTTGAAGGTAGAGAACTTTTTCAATTCTAGCACTAACACTTAACGCCTTCGTTTTTTTGATATTTGAATTCTCTTTTTCTTTTCAAACCTCAATTGAAAGACATGAAGACTACTTTGCAATGATTTTTTTAAAACATTAAATTATTAAGTAGATAAATATTCATTCGGAATTAGTTATTTATTCAATTGTCAAAGTTTGCCATATGTTTAGCTCCAGCTGTTTCCAGTTAGAATATCAAATTTAGCATTGTCTATGTTTAGACATTCACTTGATAAAATAAAATAAAATTTTATTGATAATGTTTGCTTTTCCAATGATCATGATCATGTTCCAGACAAAGAAAAAGGTCTTAAGCCATTTACAAATCACCTCGATATCGTAGCAAATTACGAACCACTACATAGTTTCTAACTCAATTTTCTATGCTATTTTATTTATTTATAGCTTAAAGCTTTAAAGAGAGTAAGAGTTTTAAAAATGATTCTTTAAAATACTTTTGGTTAGAAGAAAAGCTTTCACTAAAGTGGTGGAAAATTGGTTCTTCAAACAGAAGCTTTAAAAGCTTTCAGTTGCTTATTGTGCCTCTTGGTTTTCATGTAGAGTATTCAGTTTTGGTAAGTGTAAGAATAAACATAAGATATACAATGTGGGTGCGTGGAATTTTCATTAAAATCTAAAATGAGTTTTAGATAAATTAAAAAGTTTTTTGACTATAATATCTAAACTATATAGGTAAAGAATAACTAGCTCCATCTATTTTCCACTTTTTTTCTCTTAAAACATCAACAAGGAAACAGCACAATTTGTATGGTTCATATACAACCCCACAAAGAATGCTAAGCATTGCATTCGAATCCCTCAAGAGACATTTTTTTAAACTTAATTTAACCTTTTTGTAATATATTTAAATTATTTATTTAGTTTTTTTTATTAATTTTTTAAAAAAATTA